TATGCAATCTATTTCATTATTGTATATTTATAAAAAATAAATAAAGAATTTGATTATATTAATAATAATTAATGTTTTAAATATAAATTATTTTGAATACTTATATTTATTTTTATATTTATATTTATATATTATATAAGTTGGATTCATTATTATTTTACAGATCAACATTGTATACTTTACAACTTTGCTGCTGCGCATCGTATGAGTGAGCGCAATTTTTTCATTTTTTATAATTTTGATATGGCATTTATTATAATCTCTGAAAAAATATAACAGATATGTATGTGTGTGTATGTATGTATGTATATCTTTCACATCCACTTACTTCTATATTTACAATAAAATTGAATCATGAAAGAAGAACGCAAAATAAAAGTTTACGAAGCTCATAAATTTTAAGTTATAGCGAGTAATATTACTAGCAGTTGAAATACTTAGAATCATTTATTTATAATCCCGGACAAACGAGGAACTATAAATAAACATAGCTCTTTTCGCCCTGCATTTTTCTAAGCGTCTTTATAAATAAACGACCTTATGCAACCTTATTGACGCTGTATACAACTACACGATTAACTTTTATTTTTTCTTACGGTTGACCTGCAACAATCATAGCGCTATTTTATGCAGCAAGAAATCTGCGCGAAACCAGTGAACCAAATAATTTCCTTAACCAGTGTTGCTTAATTCTTATATGATTTTTTCTTAATACTCTTTAAAGTTATAAGAAGGCATTTACATTATATAACCATATCTTTAAATGCCGTCTTTTTGCAGGCTTAATCTGTCTTGTGATATCTGCTCAAAAAATTAATTTTAAAGTTATTAAAAAAAGTTTACTATCAAAGTATGTAATTATGTATATTTTTTTGTAGCAAAATTTTCAACAAATACTATTTCTCCTCATAATAATTTAACATTTTATTTTAAATATCTTTATTGTATATAACAGCACCTTAATTCATATATTATAATAAAATATTTTTCAAAATTAAAATTACATTAATTTTAAAAATGTAGAACAAATTAATTTTAATTAAAAGAATTTTGTTATGTTTGCACTTCTCAATTCATAAAAATTTCTAGGTTTTTAATAATATGAATCTTAACAATTAGTTGTCTGCTATTCTTCTTAATAAAAAATTATTATGTTATTATAATTATTATAAACAAGATTGATTTCAAATTCTTTGAATAAAAGAAAGTATAGAAAATTTTTCTTTGGGACTTTATATAAACAATTAACTCTTGCTATGCAGATATTGAATCCATTTAACCCTTTTATGCTAAATATCTCTTTTCTTCTCAATCAGCATATAATATTAAAAGATTCTTTAAGAAAAAATAAAAAGTTTATAAAAATAACAGGATCAAAATCTTCAACTTGGAAATTTATTATGCAAAACGTATAAATGAAGTTCTCTTATGAATACGAATGAATCTATTACTACTGTGCGATAAATTGTCAGGCAATCCGTATCATCCATATGCATATGGCAATAATTTAAAATAAGTAAATAAAAAAAATTTTTATTTTTCGAGAAATAAATGCATAACGTATAGTAATTAAAACATAAATTAAGCATTAAATATACTTTTGAACACAATGTCAGCAGAGTTTCGATATAATGGAATAATATTAGAATTTCTGTGGTTTTATGCGATATTACACCGCGAATAAACTTTTGTGGGACTCTTTTCCGGCCGCAAACGATGATTAACGGCGTCCAAGCGGTAGCGTATCGATCGTGCTAATTTTGTAACTTTCGCAACTTGCGCTATGCAATTGCGGAAATTGCGACAGACGGCAATAGGCGTTAATTCAATGTCCGCATCTCGAACTGCCGTGCGTAATCATTATGAAAATATAACGAGTTAAAATGTATTATATCTGTTCTCTTGCGAGATTTTCCGAACGCTGATGTATATTTTTGTGAACAATATCGATAGTTACCGTTAATCGGCTGATTAGAGACTGAAAGGGTTCAGTGTGTGTGTTTCCATCGGTTCTATTTTTGTTAAAAAA